CTCTGTCCTGCCGTAGACAAACAGTTCTCAAGTGCAGCAGCAACTCTGGAGCTGAACAGACAGTTAATTAATCGTGAGATTATCGAGAGACATTCAACCTCTTTCAAGACCTTGGTCCCTCTACAGTTCAGAACTCTCTATGCTTCATTCCAAGGCTCTTATATATAATAATAATAATAATAATCCTTGCATTTGATATAGCGCTTTTCACGTCGGGAGGACGTCCCAAAGCGCTTCACAGAACACACTGTAAAGTGAATTGACTGTATATTTGTGGGCGAACGCGGCAGCCAATTGCGCACAGCAATGTCCCACAAACAGTCGTAGATTGAAAATGACCCAATTTTTTTTTTATTATTGTTTTTTGGTTTTTTGGAGGGATTATTATTATCTTGTTGATACTCGTCAACAAGGTGATGTCTCACCACTGTAATCATAGACAGACTGCAGACATGGTTGGGAAGAGAGACTGCAGACATGGATGCAGTGGGCATGGAGAGAAGGAATAACATGACCAAATCCAGTGGCAGCCGGTTTCATAGCCAAGACCAATAATTTATATTTTGAAATAGACTGAGAACAGGAGAACTGTCTGCAATTGTTGTAGGCCTAGAAGCTTTCTTGCTTAAAAGCAGATAATTGAAAAGTTCTCTTTTTTCTTTTTTCTCTTAGTTCACAGGGTTCGTGCTCTAATGCAGAAATGCCTCTCCCTCCTCTAGTTTCTCCCGAGGACCATCCACAGAATTCCCTTCTGCCCTGGGAGTGTGAGGAGCTCACTGCTAAATATCAGGCTATATGGAGGTGCTCTCCCCGCCCGGGAATCAAACCCACGTCCTCTCACATGCGATACAAGCCCCCTGATCACTACACTGCAGGACTCCACAATTCGTCTGTGCAACGCGTCCACTCAATACGAATCACGGCACGACAGACAAGACTCTCTCTAACACATCTTTTGGTCTTAAGCTAATCTCCAGCACAACAGGACCAAGGGCAGCAGAGATGCTGAAAGAAGACAGCATCTGAACAACCTTTCTGTGACAGAGCCAAAGAATAAGTCAGTGCCTTAACCTTTTCCCTGCCATCACTCACTGAGCGTGGCACAATGCTGGCTGACGTATTGATTACTGAGCTACGTGGAGTCCTGTGGGATCATGTGTAAGAGGAAGTTAAAGCTGTTATGCCCCACAGATGATGAAATTATGCTGTCGATGGCTTCAAGCAAAAAAAATCATTCAGGCTTCATCCATTTCCTTGAAACCTGAAACAAAACTCTCCCTTGATAAAGCTACATTTGTCATTTGTTCTCTCCTTCCACTTTCGTGGAGGCCTGTGGTGTAGCTCAGTGGTTAGAGCACTTGCCTTGCAAGCGAGAGGACCTGGGTTCGATTCCCGGGCGGGTCAGCCCAAACCTTAGGCAAGTTTCCTTACTCCACACACTCCTCTGTTTACCGAGCAGTAAGTAGGAACCCGCTTGTCAGTGGATGACTGATTGCTTTCTGGGGACAATAAAACGTTCAAAATAATATATATAATAATCTGGTCACTCGCTGTTTGTGGGACAATGCTGTGCGCAATTGACTGCCGCTTTTCACTCACAAAATATACAATCAATTCACTATAATATATCCTGTGAAGCGCTTTGAGATGTCCTGAAGATATCAGCGCGGTATCAAACACAAGGATTATTATTATACACCCCCCACCACCCCTTAGCATAGCCTATGTTTAACACCCCATTTTCTTTCCCTCAAATCACGTCTCAAGGCTGCATCACAGAGAGACAGAGAGAGAGGGAAAGAGAGAGAAAGAGAGAGAGAAAAGAGAATGTGTGTGTGTGTGCGGTGTCATTGAAGCTATCCTTCATTATCCTTCAGTCTTGTAATACAGTAAATTAAGCATGCAGCTTTTTATATCAACTGTAATCCATCTGGACGGGTACTCTGGAAAGTGTATGTACCTGTTCAATATGAATGAACTGCTTTCACAACTCGAATAAACATATTTAAGCGGTGCTGTGATGCAAGACAGAACTCCATCCCACTGTGTCACAGAACATGCTCACAACAGCATCTTGTATTTATGGAGTACCTTTCACATAGAGGAATATCTCTAAGGATAAATAATATTACAGGGTATTGAGAAATAACTGGGGAAAGGGATTAGAGCACGTAGCTTGAGTGAGCACCAGCACAAACATGATAGGAGAAATGAGATAGAGAAATGGGAATAGAGAATAATAATAATCCAAGCATTTGATCTCGCACCTTATCTTCGAGACGTCTCAAAGCGCTTCACAAAATATACTGAAAAGCGAATTCACCGTATATTTTGTGGGTGAAAGGCGGCAGCCAATTGCGCACAGCAGCGTCCCACAAACAGTCGTGGATTGAGTGACCAAATTACTATTATTATTTATTTATTTTTTGGAAGGGGTTATTACCCCGGGAAAGCGATCCGCCAATCGACTAACAAGAGGGTTTCTACGTACTGCTAGGCAAACAGAGGCACGGAGTAAAGAAACTTGCCTACAGTTTCGCCCCACCAGACTGGGAATCAACCTGAGGTCCTCTCGCTTGCGAGGCAAGGGCTCTAACCACCTCGCTGCACGAGTCCAAATACTTTAGCGTTAAGATTTCAGTCTTTAAAAGGTTTTCACGGCAAAATGAAAATCAACACTTCTTCCACTTAGTTAATTTTATTTTCAGCAGGCTTTATAAAACCCTAACCCAAACCACACAATCCCTCCTTGGAGAATAATGAATATTCCAAGGAGAGATTGCACCGAGAGAGGCTGTTATGCCGTGCAGTGATTACACACAGAATAATGGATGCCTGGGGAGAAATGGGAAGGTAATAATTTCATCAAGGAGCTCGAGGGATATCAAACCGCCAGAGCAAAACTCTAATGACTTATAACAACCTAAAAATGTGCATACAAGTTTGTAATTCTTTCCCCAAATGTCCATGGTTTGACGGCTAGCTCTGAGGCCCTAGTGTAGCTTTTTCCCTCACTGTCTCTCACAGCTGGTATGGTTCATACTTCAGGTCAGTGGTAAGTAACTCTGTGCTGAATGTTTAGGCCACAGATCTCTGTTGGCTTTGTAGGTGAAGATGCTTCCAGGAGCAGGTTGAATCCTTAATACCTAGGCAAACTGAGGCGTGTGTGTGTGTGGGTAAGAAAACTTGCCTAACATTTCACCCCACCTGGGATTCGAATCCAGGTCCTCTCGCTTGTGAAGCGAATGTGCTAACCTCTGAGCTCCAGGACTCCAGTTGGTAAAGTTGTGCTAGTGAGAAGGAGCCAGGGGCTGATGGCTGCTCTGTACTGTTTGCCTGCTCGATTAGCTTGCTGAGATGAGCGCTGGCAATTCACCCATTTGTTTAGGTTTTCTGCTTTTATTTCACGCTATCCCTGGCAAACACCCAGCACCAAGATCTCTGAATAATTACCCGATTAAGACCAGCTGAAAATAACTCCCTGACTCAGTTTCTATTTAAATTTAACCCCATTGTTAATACAAAATTGTACAATTCCCACTAAATATTGATAGAAATAACAGGCGGAGGCCATTTGGCACACTGAGCCTAAGGTGGTGCCAACTGTATTATACTGGAGCTGTAATCCCAATTCCCTGCTCTGTCCTCACACCTCCTCAAATGGGTTTAAAATATCATCTCAGCCACAACAACTACTCAGGGTAAAGCATTTCATGTTCTGATAGCTTTCTGCTAAACTCAACTCAAGTTAAGCACGATGTTATGGGAGCGGAGTCCTGTAGCGTAGTGGTGAGAGCACTCGCCCGCCAGCGAGAGGACCTGGATTCGATTCCCAAACGGACAAGGCGAAACCTTAGGCAAGTTTCCTTACTCCACGCTCACGTCTCTGTTTAACTAGCAGTAAGTAGGATCACGGTCGTTAGTCGACTCCTCACAGATTTGCTGCAATTTAGTGAAGTATCAAGTGAATGTCGTACTTTTTAGGATTTCATGCAAAATAGAGAAATTTATGCAAATAACTCCAGTACATTGCTCCCGGCACATTATGCAATGCAGCAAAAAAAGGCATCAGATAAGTAGAACATTTCTCTTCCCCCTTTGAGACTCGTTTTGCTATGATCATCGACTGACCCACTGACACTCTCGCAAACACGCGCCACACCACTAAATCGGATCTTTCTGAATTCAGATCTCCACACCCGAAGGCAACACCCACAAGGTTAGTCACTGTCACACTGCTACCCAACAAGTTAATACAGACAAGGACTATACATAACTCCTTGTCGATCAGGTCCCTTTGTGGATTAGTATCTTTCTACCCTACCCACACAAGCAGACTTCTTGTTTCCAAATAAAGCATTACCTGTCACCAGCCAACATTAACCACAGAGCTGTCTGATATTTCCCTCCACCTCCCCAGTAAACAATATCATTCTCTCTATTTTCACTTACGCCATTTCCTTACTTTTTTAAAAAAGCAAACCTATAGAATCACAAATACATTGGCATCAAACACTCGGGATTTAGTTCTGAATTTGAATGCGACATTCAGCACTTTTTCCATTAAACATGAACGCAGGGCCCAGCTGTGCTCCAAACCACACACACACAGAATCTGCTCCCAGTAAACCCAGCAAAGTCAATACCAATCTAAGGAAATGTCCATCAATAGGGCAGACTCCAGATAAGCACATTAGTATTCGACAGACTATTCCCAGAAGCAGGGTGACTCCGGTCAATATCTCAATGAAAACCAACCAACAAACAAACAAATGGCATTTACACAGCGCCTTTCACATCAGGAGGACGTCCCAAGGCGCTGGAGAGGCAGGGATTTGGACTCGAGCTGGGGGTTGGGATCAGGAGAGGTGGAAGGCACGGAGGGTGGGGGTGGGAGGGTGACCGGTCAAAGAGGAGGGTCACAGGACACAGCACATTGTTCACCAATTAACAACTGTTATGACTTCACTCCACTCTCCTCCCCAATCCCAGGTGCTCACCTTGACCCCTCGGATTCGGAACTCGGCCAGAGCTCGGCTCATCTTGGTGGCTGCCGTGGGGTGGTCCTTGCCGTGAGCGATCACCTTCACCAGTAGAGAGTCGTAATGTGGGGAGATCATTGCTCCCTGGAAAGCTGAGGCGCTGTCCAGTCGGATTCCCATTCCTTCCCCGCTCCGGAAAACCTAAACACAATCAACGATAAACCAACGTTAACCATGTCCAATTTACAGACGTATTAAGAAAGTAAAATCAAACCAATTCTTGCAACAACCTCGCCCTCAAAATGTAGTCACTACACTTTACATTGTATCCTGTGCAGCACTTTGAGACGTCCAAGTGCAAGGATTATTATTATAACTTTCAATTACACAGCGCCCCTCACACAGGGTAGGGTTCCAGAGCGCTTGACAGTGGCGGAGCATGATGCCGAGTTGGGGGGAGGTGACCGTAGGGATGGTCGAAGAGGACGGACTTCAGACACAACCTGAAGATGGAAAGGGAGGGGGCAAGGCAGAGGGTTAGAGGGAGAGTGTTCCAAAGCTTTAGGGTGTAGTGGCTGAAAGCGAGACTGCCGATGGTGGAGCGGAGGGTACGAGAGGGGGAGAGGGGAGAGAGAGAGAATTCAGGTACTGTATTAGTTCCCCCTCATTCTCTGTCAGAAGCGAGATCAATGAGCTCAGCTCCAAGGACAGACAGTGGAAATCATTCGGGCTGGCATGTCTGCCTCACACGGTTGGTAATGGGTGCCGATTACTATAACGCCAGCTCAGTAACTAAGAGAGCCCGTTCCTCTATGGTCAGCAATCTTAGCTGCTCTGCTAATCCCTGGGCAGCTGGTGAAAAATTAAGAAGTACAGAGATAGCAGGCAGCTCAGCAGTTTGCTGGACTTGCTGACAAACACAGACCAGAATCGCATTATGAGCTTCCATTCTTCCCTCCCTTACGGAGAGCTCCAGGATCTTCGCAATGTTCACTCTGGAGAAGAGAAGGTTGAGGGGCGATAGAATTACCGTTTTAAGATTCTGAATGGACGAGATAATGTGGACCATGGTAAGCTGTTTTATCTTGTACTGAACAATAGAACCAGAGGACACGGCCTGCGATTGAACGGAGATAAATTCAGAACAAATCTGCGGAAGCACTACTTCAGTGAGCGAGTAGTGAATGTATTGAACAGAACAGGCTCCCTAGGGAGACAGACAGACGGTGGAACCAGAAAGTGTTGTTTGTTTCAAGAACAAATTAGATAGATTTCTGTTAGAAAATAATATCTGGGAATACAGTATATAGTCTGGAACACAGCATGTCAAGCAACTGCCAGGATGGTGGAAGGAGAACTCGATGTCTTCTTTCGTCGCGCAAGTTCTTATGTTCTTAATGGATCATTTGTGTAAACCCAGAAAGGACACATTTGTGTACATGTTTGAACAGTCTTCGGTTAGTAATGCAAAATGGCTCAATGTACATATTTACCAATGGTTTATTTGACATTGGTGGCACATAAACACCTGTTCACACACTGCTCATCTCCACATTAATTACTTTGTGGAGTCCCGCAGAGTATTGGATAGAGCGTTCGCCTCACAAGCGAGAGGTCGTAGGCTCGATTCCCAGTCGGGCAGGGCAAAACCTTAGGCAACTTTCCTTACTCCACACACACTCCTCTATTTACCTAGCAGTAAGTAGGAACCCTCTTGTTAGTCGATTGGCGGATCGCTTTTCTGGGGGGAATAATCCCTTCAAAAAAAATAATATGGTAACTCAATCCACAACTGTTTGAGGGACACTGCTGTGCGCAATTGACTGCTGCATTTCGCCCACAAAATGTACAATCAACTCACTTTACAGTATAGTCTGTGAAGCAATTTGAGCCGTCTCCAAGACATGATAAGGCGCTATATCAAATGCAAGGATTATTATTATTATACTGCAGCCTTGCCTTCAATTTCTAGTCCAGACAGGCACCCTATGAGTCCTAGTGGCAATGAGGCAGTGCAGTGCAGCCCAGTAGGTGGCTTTATTCACAGTTAAAAATAAAGCTCTTCAAAGCAGAGGAATAATTCAAACATAGAACCATTAAACCAAACACAGATAAAAGATCACTCACATCAATGGAAAGTGATGATAATTCACATCTGGCAATCAGCAGCCAGAGGAGGGGGAAGGAAAACTATGTGCTGAGCAACACCTATATTCCACACTGAGGTGTGATGTGGGCCGTTGCCAGCAATGCAGATGCATGTGGTCAGTGCCTGAGGCCGGGAGGTGTTAATGAGGCCAAGTACGAGAGCATTATTTTGTCAGCCACGAGCTGTAGATAATTGGAATTCACGCAGAGCAGAATGTCTGACAGAGAAATGGCATTGTGTGCGCCCACCTCGCAAGCGAGAGGAACCGGTTTCTCTTCCCGAATGGGGCGAAAACTTAGGCAACTTTCCCTACTCCACACACGCGTCTGTGTACCGGCAGTAAGTAGAAACCCTGGTTGTTTGTCGATTGTCGGATTGCTCTCCGGGGGCAATAATCCCTTCAAACAATAAATAATTTTGTCACTCAATCCACGACCGTTTGTGGGACACTGCTATGCGCAATAGGCTGCCTCATTTCACCCACAAACTATCGCGAGGCGAGTGCTCTGACCAATACGCTACAGATCTCCACATAAAGGGTCCAGTCTCCTGGAAACATGCCTTAATAGAAACAACCAACACAGAAATGAGGGATTATACCCTAGGTTTTACTTGACATATTCACAGGGTTGAAGGCAACCTATCAAAAAAAATAATATGGTATATTGGAAAAAAAAGTAAAGCTAGCAGTGACATTTCAAGTTATGAATGCACAATACACACCCTCATTGCTCACAGAACTGATGGCATTTTGTCAATGAGCTGAACACAACCATATTTAGAGTGTGCCAAGATGTGCCGTAATATTTAAGAGGGATGATAGACATGGTCTATTAACTTATACACTGACTGTCCGTGTTTAGAGATTCTGTCAGCAGCTGTTATTTGCTGGTAAATATGATTAACCACTGGAATAGAGCAACCTTTTTTGAAAAAAGAACATCAATATTGCACAGAGCTCCTATTCCGCGCTATATAAATAATAATAGGATACAATAGGATACAGCACCTTATCATATCTTCGAGGCATCTCAAAGCGCTTCACAGACTATACTGTAAAGTAAATTGATTGTATATTTTTCGGGCGAAATTTTATATTACAGTCGCATGCACATGTCATGTCCCAGACTATTTACTGTATCCCAAGATATCATTTGCACTTAAATGCAAATCTAATGGCAAAACCTCTCAAAGCTCTTCAGACAATGTTTGTCGAGTCTAGTAACATTACGTTGGATCCAATGTGGAGCCCACAACCTGCTGACCAGAAGCAAGCTGCCTCTATCTGAGGCAATCCCCCCATGTTACCAGAGGGGTGAATATGGAGAAAACACCAGTGCACGTTTCAAGGGTCAAACGGCTGATTTCTGTACTGTGTCCAGTTCATCTTATAAAATATTTGGCTGTGTGTGAGGGCATGAAAATACTTTTCAAAACCTTATCATCAGGAGCAAATAGTAAAGTTAACCATGAGATTCAACAACTTGCATTTACACAGCCCCCTTCTGACCCTGAGCCAGAGGGAGGGGGGAGGTGACTGTAAGCACAATCAAAAAGGAAGGTCTTTAGGGGGATTTGAAAGTGGGGAGGGAGTGAGGGAGGGGGCAACATGGAGGGATTGAGGGAGAGAGTGACAGAGTTCCTAGAGATACAGTGATGATCGACTTCAACAGAACTTAATCACCATTGATCTTGTGGCTCGGAGTTGAACAATGAACACAAATAATGTCCTTGGCAGAATTAGCAGCAGAGTCACCTAGCCTGACGCTAAGATTAAGATGAATTAACACAATTTTAATATGGCAAATGGCTCAGAAACCCTGGGAATCAATGACTCCACGGCTGTTAATTCTCCTCCACACTGTTGACCTCAGGAACTCCACCAAGCCAATGCCTCCAGGGAGCACAGATGTCATTATTCAACCAATAATCTTCACACAATCGACAGACAGACAAAGGCAAAGGATGTAGAAGCTGATCATAATTCTATTCACAACTCGATTTGTTTTTTTTTGTGTTAACAAGAAGTGACATTTCAGGGTTTGAGTTCAGAAATCCAGCATCAGCAAGTTTGGCTTTGCACATCTGTTCTCAAGGAGCAAAACAAACAGGCTGTTTGTAGGACATTTCTGTGCGCAACTGACTGCTGCGATTTGTCCACAAAATATACCAATAATCTACAGGTTACAGGTTAAACATGAAGTAATAATAATAATCCTTGCATCTGACATAGCACCTTATCTCATCTTCCAGACGTCTCAAAGCTCTTCACAGAATATAGTGTAAAGTGAATCGAACTACATCAACTACAGACTAAGCATCTAAGACTCCACGTGAAGGCAGCACCGAGGATAGCACCATATATTGGTAGCTGTGAAGTAAACCTTTAGCAATCATCTCCAGTAGCAACCTCACCAGGAAGGAAGCTCTACTGACACTGTGTAAATAGAGTGAGAAAAGGCTCCATTATACAACTTCACACGGAACCATCATTAAAAGGTTTCTTTACTGCATCTTCTAGCCAGCTGTAAGCTTTAACAACAACGCTCCAGGCTTGGTATCAGGTCACCTGCTGCCTCTTCTCTGTTGCAGGAAGCGTAAGCGCTTGGGGAGAAGGAAAGGGATAAGCAATGCCAACAATCATAGTATCTCACAGCACAGAAGGAGGCCATTTGGCCAATTGTGCCTGTTTCCGGCTCTTTGAAAGAGCCACCAACTACACTCCACATTTTTCCTTTTCAAGTACCTATCCAATTCCCTTCTGAAAGCTCCAGTCAAGTCCATCAAATTTGTTGGCTCAATCCACAACTGTTTGTGGGACACTGCTGGGCGCAATCAGCTAGTGGGTTTCACTCACAAAACATACAGTCACTACACTCCACAGTATATTCTGTGAAGCGCTTTGAGACGTCTTGGAAGACGTGATGAGGCGCTGTATCAAACGCAAGGATTATTATTATACAACAACAGGGATATAACATCGTGTGCATTACATAGCAATAACTGTAAACAGACACCATCACTTGTGATGACAGAGCATTTCTGTACCAAA